AGGTGGACAGACGCAGAGCTCCCCCCACCCTCCAGGAGGACAGACGCAGAGCTCCCCCCCCCTCCCTCGTTACTCTGCAAACTGGGCTAACGAGAGTAAGGAGTCTGAGGGACCTGAGGGGGACTGGTTTGCTCCCAAAACGTCTCGTCAGCCCTCACAAACATACAAAAAGAACTCGTATGATCAGTACCAGTGATGCGCAGGAGTCTGAATGTCTTTGAGGGTCTTTAAAAGGGTCTTCAAAGGTCTCCAAGGGTCTTTAAGGCTCTTTAAGGGTCTCTAAGGGTCTCTTTAAAGGTCTTCAAGGGTCTCTGAGGGTCTCTAAGGGTCTTTGATGGTCTTTAAAGGTCTTTAAGGGTCTCTTAGGCTCTTTCAGGCTCTATCAGGGTCTCTAAGGGTCTTTAAGGGTCTTTAAGGGTCTCTTAGGGTCTGTAAGGGTCTTTAAATTGGACATTGTGAATTAAATGTGGCTGTTTATGTAATGCTCAGACCAGTTTACATGTTCTCTGCAGATTTGGTGAAGTGTCTCTTTAAGACGGCAGTGATATTACACAATATATATATAAGGAGAGGTTCACATGTGTTAAAATACTGAAGTTCCAATGGGTAGACTGAGAGATGTTCTCCTCGTACGCAGAAAGAAGTTCTATGTTCTCCACCACCTCTAGAAAGGAGGTTTAGATTTTCTCCACCAGTGCTGGAAAGAAAGTCAAGATTATCTCCTACAACGCAGCAAATAAGTTATAGGTTTTCTCCTCCACTCCTAGAAGAAAGCTCCAGGTTTTTTCTCCACCTTCCCTGGAAAGGACATCAATATTATCTCCACCACCTCCAGAAAGAAGCGCCATGTTTTCTCCACCTCCTCCAGGAAGGAGCAAACTGTTGCCATGACGCTCGGATGAGTTTTCATGCCCACTGTAGGTTTGAAGAACTGCCCTTTTTAAAGAGGTAGTAAAAACTAAATATCCCCCACTTAAAGGAGAGGTTCATGTTTTAAAGTCTTTCCTGAAACGTCCTGATGTGTTCACGAGAAACGTCCCGATGTGTTCACGAGAAACGTCACGATGTGTTCACGAGAAACGTCCCGATGTTCACGAGAGGCGTCCCGATGTGTTCACGAGAGACGTCCCGATGTGTTCACGAGAGACGTCACGACGTGTTCACGAGAGGCGTCACGACGTGTTCACGAGAGACGACCCGACGTGTTCACGAGAGACGACCCGATGTGTTCACGAGAGACTTCACGATGTGTTCACGAGAGACGCCCCAACGTGTTCACGAGAGACGTCCCGACGTGTTCACGAGAGACTTCACGATGTGTTCACGAGAGACGCCCCGATGTGTTCACGAGAGACGTCCCGATGTGTTCACGAGAGGCGTCACGATGTGTTCACGAGAGACGTCCCGATGTGTTCACGAGAGACTTCACGATGTGTTCACGAGAGACGTCCCGATGTGTTCACGAGAGACGTCCCGATGTGTTCACGAGAGGCGTCACGATGTGTTCACGAGAGACTTCACGACGTGTTCACGAGAGACGTCCCGAGCTGACGAGGAACGGGTGATTTTACTTTACTTTTAAATAAAACCGATGAAAATCAGAGGCCGTTCTTACTGAACTCTACAGCGTCTGAAGAGGCGATTGCACTGAATTTGGAAGTTAAATAATTTTGATTTGTTTTATTCTAAGACACTTCACGCAACAAAATACGTTTCCTTGAACGAGGGAACTGTAATATATCTTGGCTTCTTTCAGACGTAAAGAAAACATCTTAATGCACATCCAGGAGTTTATTTCACTAACTGCCTGGGTCTGCAGATTTCTCCTCAGTTCAACAAGTGAGCATCCCATAAGCCCTCATTTGCATATTTCGACATAACACTTGAGTCTTGGGTGGTTGCTTTTTTAATTCTGTGTTTATTTTAGTGACATTATTTGAATAAAGCAAAAATATGGCATTCTTTAGATTTCTCAAAAGAGGATGAATGCACTGAATGATTGGAGCTTTTATAATATGTTAAGGTAGCTAAACAGGGAGAGTAAACAGGCTTTCCAGCGGTGTAAGATGTATTGCCAAGAAGCGTTTTTACAACAAATAAATAATCTACCAAACCTTAGTTTTTGTGTTAAGTTGATATATGACGTTCATTAATGTTCTTGGGGGAAAAGAATGGGGAGGGGTGGTGTCACACTGTCATGTCTCCGGGGAGGAACACTGATCCAATGTGATGATCAGCTGGGCCCTTTCTCATTTCTCTAATTCCCCTCCTCGACTCCCCTCCTCGACTCCTATCCTCGTGTCTTAGTCCCACCCACAGGAGATGCGAGCGGAGGAGCAAGGAGGGGGCGAGGGGAAATTAGTGAAAGAGAAAGGGCCCTGGACACACACACACACACACACACACACACACACACACACACACACACACACGAGAAATGAAAATAGTTTTTCTTGATTCGGTGTAAAGTGTCAGGGTGCAGTTCTGCAGATGTCCACAGAGTGGCGCTGTGGCTCTGAGAATTCACAGACAGCTGTTAAAATATTTTTCATTTATTACCTTTTTTATTAATTAATTAATTTACTTGCATACTTACTTATTTAATTTTTGTAATATAATTTTTATATTTTATTTATTCATTAAATAATTGATGGATACAAATATTGTATTTGTTTATTTACACATAATTTAAATGTGTTATCATATTTTATTGCAATTTATTTATATATTTATTGCCTAATTTTCTTGTTTGTTTATTTAATAATTTACATTTGTTTTCATTCATTTACTTATACTTTTAATTATTTTGTTTTATTTAATTTATATAATTACTTCTACTCATTAATACATTAATTATATTTCTTATTGTAATTTATTTATATATTTATTGCCTAATACATTTTTTATTTATTTATCCATTAAAGCATTTACTTATCTATTTAATTATTTATACAACCACATTTCAGAGGAGCTTTATGAGGGATGAAAACATTCAGATAACACCACTGATCCCCCCCCCCTCTCCCTCATCTACATGTTCTTCATCTCCTATAGTTCATATGCAGGCCACACACACGTAAATAAATCTGTCATCAGCTGCAGGCTCTGGAGTACACACACACACACACACACACACACACCTCATTTATTTATTTATCCATTTATCAGGGTTAGAGCATCTGGTGGTTTAAGATTAATTAATCACACAACAAGTAAAAGTATAACTTAAATGATTAATCACGTGTAAAAACAGTTATATCCACTCAAAATGATCCTGTACGTTTCATCTTAGAATGTAAAGTTAAGTTCAGATATAAATAAGCTTTTTTCCTTTTATATATATGTGTGTGTGTGTGTGTGTGTGTGTGTGTGTGTGTGTGTGTGTGTGTGTGTGTGTGTGTGTGTGTGTGTGTGTAAGTTTGAAAGTGGGACACAGGAAGAGGAAGTGTATGAGGCATGCTGAGAGAAAGTGGGTTAGCATAGAGAGTAAATAACAACATCTACTCCCAAAATAGCACAATAAGTGATGAAATCTAGCAGAGAGGAGGGATCTGAGGGAGGATTCTTTTTTTTATGATAAAAGATGACTCATAACTTTGATAGTGAAACACTCTCACATTCAAACCAGCAATTATCCTGCAGCAGTAGGCGTTTTTTCCCTCAAAAAGTGGATATATCATAGAGCAAAACTGAGCTTTTTGTGAATGCATTAACACAAAGGATGAAATCTTCAATAACTCATGGCTGCATAATGCAGACTGTGGCAGGGAAAGCGTATTCCTGTAGTGGAGCCTGAACGTAGCATCTCCCTGGTTCCATCAAGAAAAAACAATGGGATTTTTACAGGAAATAAACTCTGTGTCAAACCAGCGTTTCACATGTGAAGAGCACGGTCACATGACTTCACGTCATCACCGCTAAGCTAGGGGTGGCTAATGTTTGGAGGGATGATGTTTAGTAGTCTCATTTAGACACTTGTTAGCAACCACTGCTTTTAAATTCACCAGTGTAGTATTTAATCACATATTTTGTGTTTTAGAACAAAATGTGAAAATCTCTTCAGCTTGTGATAACCACACACACAGGGGACAGGAAGTGCTAAAATGCTGACTCATTGCAGTTTCTTTTTTTCTGTGTTGATTGTACAATCTTTCCTTCGTTTCCAATAGTTAGTCATGTTCTTATTGTTTTGTATATATTCATGTTTCTCATATTTCTAAAAACAGACCTTATTCAGGAATCTAACCAAAAACAAAATCGAAAAACGAATTGAGCATGAGAAAGGGAACCAGAAGTGGTCCAATGCTGACTCATTTCAGGATTTTTCTGTTATGCTTCTTTATTTGGTCTCATTTTACAGTATAATTCCTCTCGCTGTGTTTGTGTATGAACCAAACAACAAAGTACATATCTTGAATGTAAATCTACTTGGCAATAAACCTTATTCTGGTTTGAGGACTCATTCCTGCACCCCTATGTTGAGCTGATATACACACACAGCTGCCATCACTGAGATCAGAGCGGTTCACTGTTGTCAGTACAAACAGCGCTCGTCATGTTTACAAATGAAGCCCACTTAATGTCAGCAGAGACTAACAGAAAGCTCCGAACATACTATGGTGCAGCTTCTCTGTTTGATGTGTACATAAAAGCCAGGAAGAAGAAAAAGGGGCGGGGGACTTACGACGCAGACGGGCATCGAGTCGTCATCGCCTATGGAGTCCTCAGGATCGTGATGGGGATCCTGTAATCACACACACATACACATTAACACACCTGATACACAGATGACAATAAACGCCCTGTGAGGACGTCAATTCTGCTGCAGGTTCAAACATGCTTCCATAACTGAAAATACCTCAGTGTGCATGCTTTATTCCAACGGATTATTCATGAGAGGACTTTTGTCTTTGTTGTACAATAGTCACAATAATTAACCGAATATTTTGCTAAGCTATAAACCGTTAGTTGGTTTATCAGCCTCTCAATTGTGTTTTGTTCTGCTTTCTTTCTCAGTCTTAAAGGATATTAGTCCTGCTTTCATAATAGGTTTGATTATGTATCATCTTTATTGTTCACTGTATTTTGTCAACACTTGCTGTTGATCATCATGACTTGTTTCCTTCTGTGAATCTTTTAACATTTACATTTTTGCTTGAAAAAGCACTTTAAAGTCCAACTGATTTATAAATATAGTTTGGTTAATGATTCGTAAAGTGCATTTCTATAGAACATTTTTCTCTTCTTTTTGTCAGGGTAACAGGGGACTTTTAAAGTTGTGTTAAATGACAAATAGCTATCTGTAATAAGATCCATCATTTTGTCACATCTGCCGCCTACATTCCTGTATTTTGCTTCTTTTTGTGCTCTGGAGCTTTCAGAGGTGAAGCGAGGCGACCTATGAGTAGGCGTCATTATTTTGAAAAGGCTCTCATCATCTCCCACCCGCTCTCTGTGACGGAGGAATCAAGCAGAGATCACAATTGAAAAAAAAGAAAAAAAAAGTCCCCAGGCGGTCACAGCGCGAGCTTTAATTCTACCTCATCCAAAAAGGAACACAACAGATATGAATTAGCATTACGTAACAGCACAGGATTAGTCTGCTCCCCTGCTGGACCAGCAGCTGTGATTGAGACACTGATACTACCGCCAGAGGAAAACAATAATAACAACAAAAGTGATTATTTATTTTGCCGGTAAGTGCGGCGTAAGCTGGAAATCTGCACAGCGGGCACGAGAGGCGTACACGTATGTGTTCACG